CGTCTGATTTCGCTCCCTTGGTGACGTGGCAAAGGGATCTCATTATAATATTACCGCCCCTTTATCTGTAAGTTTCCACCCATGGCGCAGTTTTTGTGATTTGGCAAGCGACAATGGTGTACTAATTCTAATGTCATGGCGAAAGTTTGAGCAAAACATGCTAACTGTTCTGTCATTGACTGCACAGACAAGCACAAAACACTATGTACAGTCCCGGCCTCAGAGGAGACAAGACAGCAGTGGATTTATTGATTTATTTCATGTATATTGCTGCTGCCACACAGATCTAAAATAAACATGCGATTTATTTCCCAGCTATTTACATTCACAGACATAACCGACTGTTTTTTTGTAACTCATGTGTGTTTTTAACGTAAACTTGTGTGTGAATAAGAACTTAGTTTAGTACTCACATGCTGTGACAGCCGCTTTCTGTCCGTGTGCTTCGGATGTGTGCTCTCAGACAACAGTATATCAGAAGTTTAAACTCATATGGTTTAAAACACATGATTTCAGCGCAATAAACATGATAATCAGAACCAAAACAGATATTTTTTTAGCAGGTACGAGTTGTAATGGCACAGCTCTATTCTGGAAAAGGGGGCGGGGAGCAGCAGCTCATTTGCATTTAAAGAGACAGGCCCAAAAAACAGAGTGTTTCTGCTTCCACTCAAAATAGACATTTTCAAAATGATATAATAAATGATCTGTGGAGTATTTTGAGCTGAAATTTCACAGACAAATTCTGGGGACACCAGAGACTTATATTACATATTGTAAAAAGGGGCATAATATGTCTCCTTTAATAATAATTAATAAACAACTAAAATGACAAAACACTCTAGAAATTACTACAATTTTAACTAAATGAAACATTATCTAAATGAAATCAGAAAAAAACAAAAAACAAAAAAAACATTATAAATATGAATAAAAAACAGTAATGATCCAAAAAATAACACCTTTGCCATCATCTCTGGTTTATACCTGAAACTGTATATCTGTATTCACATCTTTAAAACAGACCAGTTGTTCATGAGATATACAGTATATTCTGAAAGCTATATATATATGAAATATATATGCAAACACATAGAAGACATTTGATTATCAAAATGTTAGGTTGTTTCATACGACTGACAACTCCAAAGATATGAAATTATATATATTTTTTTCAAATATATTTTTGGACATGAAAAAGAATATAGTCCTGATTTCAATATATTATATATTATATATTCAAAAACAGAACCAGAATACAGAAACAAAATAATTCAATAACATTTTTAGTTGTACTATGCTCCAGTTTTAAAATTAAAATGGTCAGAGTAAAATTCAGGACACAGTGAAAGTAAAAATATGTAAATGTGGTAGACCAATGCAAAGAATAACATTAATTAAGGCCCACAGTTCACTTAATCCAGCTAATTTTGATACTTTTCAACTGTTTTGTTTCATAGGAAACAGACATTTTAATCTGTCGAAGTTCTACAGCTGATGTCGAGTGATAATGAACCAAAACATCATTTATTAAATTATCTGCATTTTGAAGGGTATCTTAATGAGTCATTATGTGCTAGGATTTATGGTACACCAAAGTCTGTATATAATACATTGTATATAATGGTGGTTATTTTTATTCAAGTATTTCAATTCAAGTGGATTCAAGAATGTAAATCATCAAAGAAAACTATCATCTATCAACTATCAAACTCTATCAACTATGAAAATCAAAAAGAGTCGAGGAGATGCTACAGAGCCTGCAGATAAAATCTCTGCTCAAAGATCTTTACTAAGATATAAGCACATTGAGATTAAACTCACACGACTACCACTCAACACCTTGTTTGCTGACACCGCACCTGTTGTGAAGTGAAGCTGAGCTATTGTTATTGCACGATATCAAACAGAGACACTCCTCTTCCACCTCCTCTGCTAAGCTCTTTACTATCCATAGAATCTTTGCCCTCTTTGAAGATTAATCTTATTGGTGAGTAGCTCTTGCAAAAAAATCTTTGCAACATAACACATTGTAAAGTTAGATTTAGTATCAAGGAGGAATGTTTCCTGTACACTGTAATTCATTCTGAATTGTGGAATGAGGCGTTTCCTGCTTTTCTTTGAAAACTATATCCTAAGTAATGGCTTAGGTAAACACTCTCCCTCAAAGAACACTGAATGGCAACCAATACAAAGGTGACATAGATAGTGCAAGTGCCAGCGAATCAATAATGCAAGGCATTACGCTTGCGTGGGCCCAAGGATTGCGACAAATGAAACATAAAAAATTCATAGCATCATCAGATAAAAGAATTGTGAGGATTCAGTACAGTTCAAAGGGACCCAGAACTCTCTCCTGTGCCAATATCATATTTTGGAACTACTTGCAAGACTGGGCTGAAGGGTGGTGGCAAAAGAGTAGGCAAAGTAAAAAATAATCACCCAAAATAAGAAATGTATGACTGCGCTTGAATGCATATCATTTGGGATTCATAAGAAGGTAAAATTCCACTGGAATCTTAATGTTTTAAAATTAAAATGGTCAGAGTAAAAGGAGTACAAAAATAACATACTTCTTAAATTGTACTGAAAGATCCATTTTCTCTTTGCAAAACATTAATTTCTATATGAAGGAAGAGAGAATTATTGAACAAGTACCTATTACCTTTACTTTACTTTGCAGCATTTTATATTTTGTTTTCTATTTCATTTAATATTTTCACATTTCTAACATTTGGGCACAAAAGCATCATCAATATTTATCCAAAATATAATAATTATGAATTATAGAACTGAATAAATTCTATTTTATTTCAGAAAACAATACTTTTCATTATGATTCCTGAGATTTATGTGAAAATAGGAACATATCACCTGTTACACTGAGAAAAAGCTGCTTAAAAACTTTACCTACGCCATCAATAGCAATATGGAGCACAGTGGTGACACAATATTTTTTCATAACTGCATAGCTTTCTGAATTGCTGCTCTATAAGGCTGAAAGTACAAATTTTGTTTATTTTGATAGTTTCGACTTCCAAAGCTCGATGACGATCAGCTGCATAGGAAGTATTCATGTGATGTTGAATCCCGACACAAAACTGTAGAAAAAAAATCTCTCCTATCATTACTCTTTCCGCCGCCAGGGAACATATTTGCTCTCACCTCAACAGAATTCCTATTTCCCACGCAACGAATCCCCAGACAGCCACAGAACGCAGCCTTTCCCGAGTCATCTCAAGGCTTGATTGACATAGACATACAGTAGTCCTCTGTGAATGCCTGTGCTGTCTTCAGCACCTCTGGCTTCTTGACTTCAGGACCCTGGACAGCGCTCCAACTGTTCCTCCTTCACCCCTATGCTCCGTAAACTACGCACGGCAATCGCAAAGGAATCCCTCATAATCTTATGAAGCTAAACGGCATATATGAAACTCTTCCCTCGTAGCGGCACTAGACGAGATGGAGTGCTGTTTGAAAGCGTGCGGCAGCTGAAGTGATTCTTGACATATTCAGACATATCTGAGCAGAGACCGCCCCGCACAGCGCGCTTGACTGACAGCGCGCTTCTCCACTCTCACTGTACTCATGCATGTGCAACGCTTACTTACAATTACAGATAACTGAATTTGAATACTTCCCCTGACTCGTGCCAGCCCTTTCACAATAAGAGATTCATGCTCACGTGATTAATACTGTGGAATATAGCAAGAAACGGAATTATCGATTAACATCGTCGTAGTAGTCAGTAGGGGATTACCTAGCCTATTATTAGTCGACCCCGTTGATTTTATACAATAAACAGATGATTTTTGAAAACCAGATAGTTGAAATATCACCATTAAATTCTCTTTCTAAGTCATGAACTTAAGCACAAGGCAATGGCTAAATTAAGTATATCATCTACCCTGTTGCTGTTTTTAAAAGCATTGCTTTCAACATATTTTATTACTGCTTTTATATGAACATACTCTAAAAATCACCTTTTTAAAATGGAAAAGCCACCCTTGTTGGAGCGCTCGATAACTGTCTTCAAAATTAAATTGTCAGGAAAAAAAGTCCTGCATGATAATGATCTGAGTGTAGCTTCAGTAATGATCCGTTTATCATTTAATAAATGATAACCCATTTCATGTTTGTTTATGGCTGATATTCAGTATATCATGACATGGAGTTATATTTAATCATTGTGGGTTACAATACACTCATTGCAAGCTGACTGTATCAGTAAGCAATGATGAAACTAAGCGCAATGTAACTCGTGAGTCATATATGATGGCACATGCTAGAAAACATGCTAATTCCCTTGGTGCTGGAACGTGCCCGGTCCAATCTGGCAGAGGGGCCCTATGTTGTATTTAGGTATATAGGCCTAACGCACTGAGCTACTGCCTGTTTTTGATTTACCCATGAAATCATTGTTGTGTTACAGTGAGTGACAGTGTCTGGCATGGGCTGCCGCAGGCAGAGTCTATGGCACAGCTGAGACCGAGTACATCTGTGCAACGTGTGTGTGCCCACTATTTATTGTGCCACGTTGACCCTGTTCCCAGCTTTCTTTTTGCCATTGCTCTGGAATTGGGTGATAAGCTCAAATGCTTTCTGCTGCCAAAGTGTGGCATTAGGGAACTTGGATCTGCTTTTTATTTTGTTTCATTCATCCTCTTCTTTAAAAGTTACTTTTATGTGCTTTAACAGACAACAAAGACTAGGGCTAAATAATTATGTCCAGTCTTCCATATAGTTGTCTCTTGATTCACTACAAATAGCATGTTATCTGCCAACTCATTGGAAAAGCTTTATAATAAAGTGTTCCCATTCTTTGACTATTTAAAGAAATAGCTCACCCAAACAAATTGCTGAGAATTTACTCACCCTCAGGCCATCCTAGATTTCTTCATCAGAATAGATTTGGAGAAATGTAGCATTACATCACTTGTTCACCAAAGGATCCTCTGCAGTGATAAAAATATCACAATAGCCCACAAGTAATCCACATGATTCCAATACATTAATTACTATCTTATGAAGTGAAAAGCTGTTTGTAAGAAACAAATACATCAAGACGTTTTTAACCGCAAACCGTTGCTTCTCATTTTGAGAATATTTGAGAAATATTGGAGCATTTTTATCAAGCTCCAATATTTAGCCTATGTTCAGTTATGCCACTTTAATGGCATAGAAAAGGACCTATACATTGGTGGGTGGGAGGGTGAAGGGCAGATGGATGGGAAGAGCACTGATAATAGCCTAATGTGTACTCTGTCAATTACAAAAGCCACTGTGTTTAGCCCTCAGATAATTTCCCCTGCCCTCCTTCATGTAAAGAACTGTTAGAGTTAGAGCTCTTTTGTTGACTTATCACTGTCAGCGTTAAAGTAGCCTGTAGTGTTTGAATGCTCACCCGAGAAACTGAAAAAGAGTTATTTGCAAATGTACTTCTTTGTACAAAAGTATACTCTGAAAATGTTTGTATTTGTTATGTGTAAATAAAAAAGTAAATAAAATGAAATTAGTAATGAACTCAGAAAATATGACAGATGGTTTTTGGTTAAGGTTAGGTATTTTGTGCCCTACTCAGTGTTATTTTAGTACCATTGATGTACTATTATAATTTTTTATGAATGTTTTGAATCAGATTTTATTCAAGTTAATTTTATGTTATTTTATTTCATTTAATGCTTATTCTATTCCAAGTAACAAAAATGTTTTTATGGTTTTAGTGTTGATTGTAGGTAACAATAATAATCCTGGACCTACTGAATGAAAATACACATTTGTTTATTTATCCCATTACTATGTAGTAGTAAATGCCTCTAGTATTTTCTGCCTGTCAGGATGTGCTACCCTGGTTGCATGTTAAAGAAGCACATTTTCTTAGACAAGCACGATAACTTTAACTCAGCTCATCCTGACAACTTAATTCTGAGTCTGTATAGGTCAAATTTTAGAACAAAGAAGTCAGTAATCTAAACCTGAGACTGAAGCATGGGAGTAGAATATGCGGGGAACACGGGGGACATGTCCCCCGCACATTTTTCGGGCAAGAAAAACGGGTGTTCACATAGAGGTTTTCAATGGCCGGTGTGAATAAATCTAGATTTAAATTCAAAGAGACAGGATAGTCTGTGCATGACCTGATGTTTTATTTGTATCCAGACTGAGGCGATGTGATCATTACGAAGAGCTAAACACTCTCATGCAGTGTCTGATTCATTCATACTTGACGCCGGAGGGCGCTCTCTCGCAGAATGTCCAAGACGGACTCATAGAAGTAATAACTTATGACGTGTCAGGAAATCTCAAATATGCAGCGAATTTTTGCACCCTTGAAGGGCACTTCGGGAAGGGGATGCCATTTATAGGGACTTTAAGTCCGTTAGTGAAGGGACCATGCAATGGAAGTTATTTCCGTTTGTGATCATGTGATCTTCGGTTAGGAGATCTTGCAATGCATTTTAAAGCAAAGTTAAGGTTGATTTCGACTTCACATACAAACATAAGTAGACAAGGCTAATTACATTTTTTCTTTATTTTAATGTAATACAAAACATTTTTCGTCAGTGTTAGAAATATGATTTAAAAAGAAGAAATATTTATTTGCAACAACTGATGGAGTGCTGAATGCTGCACGCACGCACAGCGTTATCAAGGTAACATCTGGTCAGTCATTCCCTTCGCCAAGGGAGTTCCAAATGTTTATACGAGACAGTAATGCAATTCACCCTTCAAAGAACACACTTCAAGGTTTCTGCCCTTCGAAGGGAATAGGGCATAGGGATGCTCACTTCTGTTTGGAATTCGCCCATGGACAAAAGCATCCAGCTATCGCTGTTTAAGCTGAATAAAAAGCTAATAATAATAATAATAATAAACATTTGGACTGATGAAACGTGAAGACATTAAACACACGATTGTGACAATATATGATTTATGTGTGTTTTTCAAGTTATCTCCAGGTAATAAATAAAGTATATGAATAATGCAGTGCTAATTGACATTGCATTTATTACAGTATAGAAACTATTCTGCCTTATTTTGTGATAAAATGGGAAACAAAGTGTTTGTAGTATCTAAACAAATCATAAAATTTTCATGAGGAATATGTATGAAACATATTATAGAATACAAATTATTGGTTATTGTCCAGCATTGTATTTGATTTCTTAACCAATTAAAAGTATGAAACAATAGAAAAATAAAACTTGTCAATTAAAAAAAAAAAAAAGTATTATTACATTTGTTCCCCCTCACTTCTAAAATGATGGCTACGCCCCTGGACTGGAGGAAGTGCATATAGAATGTAACCAATAATGACTTTAATTCTGATGGCATTTCATGGCATGCCTCATTCATAGAGTAGTTTCATTGCCAGCTTTGCCTCTACCCTTTCTGTAACAAAGTTCGTAGTTCGGGAAGAAGGAGGTGGGAACCGGTGAACATTCAAACAAAACGTTCATAATAAAATAAACACAAAATAGCGCGACAGCCCCTCGCGGACGACTGCCGTGCACAAACAGAACCAAAACACAAAGTAAAGTCCAGGCCTGGTCCTCTCTCGTCTTGCACTGTCGTCACTCCTCCTTTTATCCTTCCGGAGCTCCTCTGTGGGACTCGAGACCGGTGAGTGGCGCAGGTGACGTGCATTATGACTTACTCCACCGGCCTCGCTCCGTTCCCACGGCTCTCGGCCCCGCCCTTTTCGAACGCCTGATTTGTCTGGCTACTGCATTATTTGATTGGATGTATGTAGTGAACTCGTGGAACAACACCCGACGAAATGGCTGTGTTTATCGGTCATATGGATGCCTTTGATGAGTCCGCTGAACAGTGGGCTACCTACATAGAAAGGTTTGTACAATTTGTTTCTGCAAACGACATTACAGATGAGAAACAAGTCGCGGTGTTGCTGAGTGTAATGGGTTCATCTACATACGGCCTGCTGCGGAGTTTAATCGCCCCAGATAAGCCGGGTGCGAAGTCATATGATGACATTGTGACTGTTTTGAAAGACCATTTCTCACTGAAACCGATCGTTATTGCAGAAAGATTTAGGTTTCATAACTGCAGTCAGCACGAAACAGAGACAGTAGCACAGTATGTCGCAGTTCTGAAAAAGCTGAGTGAACACTGCGAATTTGGGACGCATTTGCAAGATGCGCTGCGTGATCGCTTTGTGCGTGGGC